AKYYKCWAWWTAWTTTTTTTAATGTAAGTTRWGAAACTGAGCTGATGAAATTCATGCTGCAATTAGATGTTAAATAAAATGCAGCTACAAGTGTTGATACTGGAGCTAAACCTGAATTYTTTTYTTTACGTAAAACATTTTAATTGTGAAGTTATTCTTCCAGTGAAAAGARGTGTAAATACATGTCCCAACGCATTTTAAGTCWGAWATGAAACCACTCAAAACGGTAACGGGGTAGAGCATGGTCACATACATCAAGGGAAGGCTAGACCGTCTCATTTCACAGCAGTTTTATGCAGCCTACCTGGACTGCATGGGCTGTGACCTGTGTGGGCCGCGGTCCAGGTAGGATGCAGACCCTAAATTGAGACACAGCCAGCGAGCTTAAATTTGGCATGGTGGTGGATGACCAAAGTAATCTCCAAGTTAAGGCAAATCAAACATCTGTAACGGACACCCCGTAGCAGGTCCCAAAGTTACTCCATGAACCTTTCTAGTTTCCACCTATTCCCCCACACGTGTCCGTAGTGTTACATGACATTTCATCGAAAGGCAGGACTTAATACTTGTAGAGGGGTCATTCTGTAGTGACACTGAACTGCTTCTGGGATCCCTTACTTGGTCCAGAATTATAACGATGTTAAACAAAACAATAGAAATTAATGACTTGCTGTCATTGTTTTTTTAAGTGTGTTTAAATCACTTTGAACCCTTTTGCAAGAAAAGACAAAGCAAAACAAAAAACAATTSTAAATTCTTACCCAAGTCATCTTTGTCCAGTACTATCTCCTCCATCACAGAGGGCATTACAAAAGAGAATGTCTTCCTGTTAAAGAAATACAGAGAGTAACCAATAAACATGCAAATGAAAATGACTACACGATAGTAGCCATAGCCTGTGGCCCCCATGACTGAGGACAGCTGAATAAAAAGTTATATATTTAGATCGTTGTCTTTATTTCAGTCTTGTYGTTGCATCTAGATGGCAGCCGGCAAAAAGCAACAGAAGATCAAAAACAGGTTGCAGTGTGGTCCAAGCAGGGCAGGTGACAYGTTGTCCATGAGCAGAACACTGTGGAGCAAACTTCACGCAGGCTGGTGGCTCAGTCGAACTGTGAGAGTGCAGCAGAGGAGAGGAACCTCACACCAGCCTGAAAACGAGAACAACATACCACACATGACTTCAGAAGCAACTGAAGCCTGTATAAATGAGCTGCATATATCAATGGCTTCTAACCTGGAAACTAACAAAAGCAACTGCTCAGGGAGGTTAGGGGAAAAGGTTTTATGCATTATGTCATGCTGACAAGCCTTTCTTTACTTTTTCATAATATTGGTTGTGCTGCTCAGCTGACTGTGCTGTTTCAGGCAGTTAAATTTACTGGATAAATTAGAGCCATCCTGCAGCTCATCTGGTTCTGTCTGAAACAGATATACAGTACACTGTGTATATATATAT